TCCATGTTCCTTCCACTTCCTGAGGCGGCTCTGCAAATGCTCCTTCCTGAATGTCTTTATGACAAAAGCTCCAAGTGGGAGCCAGCGGAAAGGAAAGGCAGCCTGTCCATGCTGTCTCCTCCTCCACCTCTCGGGCAGATCCAGGGTCCTGGGGCTCTGACTCCTCCCTAAGCCAACATGACCATAAAGGTCCGCCCTCTAAATCCATTCAGGACGTCAGGGAGGCAGCCAGTACAGTGGAACTGAAGACACTCTGGCTGTTCTTCCCTGTTCAGTCTGCAGTTTGCAGTTCTTTTCTCCCATTCTGATGGTTTACCCTTTGTTCTGTGGATAATTTCCTTGACTCTGCAGAAACTTTTTAGTTCAAAGGAGGCCCATTCCTCCATTTTTGCTTTTCTATTGGTGCTTTGAAAAAATTGCCCAAGGCAGTGTCCTGAGTCTTTTTCCTTAGGTTATTGTTTTTATTTCAGAATTTCACACTTTATATTGCAGTCTTTAATCCATCAGGAACTGGTTTGGGATAAAGTGTGAAGTAAGGGTTTAATTACCTTAATTAAGAGTGGCTATCCTGTGTTCTCCACATCCTGCTTGACAGTGAAATCCCAGCTGGCTCTCAGAATGTGGATTTATTTCTGGACTCTGTTCTTCTCCACTGGCCTCTGTGTCTGTTTCTGTGCCAGCACCAAGCTGTTTGGTTAGTATGGCTTATAGCATGCTTTGGAATCAGGTACATGTTGCCAGGAGCTTTCTTTTAGCATTTATTTATTTTGTATTTCTATACAAATGTCAGGAAATGTTTTTATATTACTGTGAAGAGCCAGGGATTTAGCTCAGTGGTTCTGCAGCCTGCCTCACAAGTGCAAGGTCCAGAGTTCAATCCTCAATACAAAAAAATAAATAAAACACAAAAACATTACTGTGAAGAATGTCATTGCTAGATCGAATTGTATTGAGTGTGTAGATCAATTTGGATGGTATGGACATTTGAACCATGTTAATTCTTCCAATCCATGAACATGAAATATCTTTTCCTTTACTGGTGTCTTCTTTAAATTCTTTCATAGATAATTTATAGTTCTGAGTTCACAAATCTTTCACTTATTTGGTATTTTTTGTGGTATGAGGATTGAACTCAAGGCTTTACCACTGAACTACATCCTCAGTCCTTTTACTTTTGTACTTTGAGGCAAGGTAACTAAGTCACTAAGTGACCCAAATGTCTCTCAAACTTAAATTCCTCCTGCCTCAGCCTCCCATAGTGCTGAAACTATAGGCACATACCACCATTCCTAATGTGAAAATGGAATTTTTTAAAGTTACCTTTTTCATGTAATTTGCAGGTAATAAATAGACACACAAATGATCTTTACATGTTGATATTATGTCCTACAAATTAACCAAATTTATCAGTTGTAATAATTTTTTGGTGTAAAATTCTGAGTTTTCCATTTCTAAGATTCTGTTATCTACAAACAAGGATAATTTCACTTTGTTTATGTTTTGGATGTTGTCTTAGTTACTTTATTGTTGCAGAGACAAAACAGCCATGCCTTAGAGGAGGACAGATTTATTTCGGTTCATAGTTTTTAGAATTCTCACACCATAGTCCTCTGAACCAAGGCGGGGCGACATGGTAGAGGGACACAGAAGAAGAGAAACTGTCCACGGCAGGGCAGGCAGGTGGCTGAGTGGGGGATCAAGAGAAGATGAGGGCTGTTATACATGGCTCACATCACTTCCAGCGTGGACTAATCTAGTATCATACAGCCCTGATCCGACATCACTCCCACGAGCTCCACTTATAAGAACACAAGGCTCTGGGAGACATCTGAGTCCGGCCATAACAGATGGGTTTTTATTTCTTTCCTTTGATTAATTGCTTTAGACAGAATTTCCAGCACTATATTAAATATAAAACATTGGTATTTTGACTCTTAGAAGAACATTTTCAGGTTTTTCTCCACTAAAAATGTTTTCTGAGTTTATTGTTTTTGCACTTTATTGTGTTGAAGAATGTTCCTTATCTACCTGTTGATTTTTTTCTCATGAAAAGATCAGTGAATTTCATCTAATTCTTTCTGTTCATCTACTAAAATGGTTCAGTGGTTTTTGTCTTTGTGTTAACCTGAGGCACCATGATCTGTGAGATTTTAGTCATCCTTGCATGCCTGAGACCAGCCCCACTTGGTCATGGTGAATGTGTTAACTCACTGTTGAATTAGGATTGATGATAGTATTTTAGTATATGTGCTGCCAAAGCAAACACAGAAATGTTAGTGTTTTTCTGGAGGTTTTCACATCTATACTAATCAGTAACATTGACCTAAGATTTCCTTTTATGGTTGCATCTTTCTGGTTTTGCTATCAGGCTAATGTTGGCCTCATAAAATGAGTATGGAAGTAGTCCCTTCTCTTTGAGTTTTTTAAAGCTTTAAAAGGCACTGGGTCACTTGGCATTGGTTCTTTAAATGTGTGTTGGAATTCAGCTGTGAATCCCTCCAGTCCTGGGCTTCTGTCTGTTTGGTATCCCACGGACACCGAAATCTGCAGATAGAAAACCGTGCCACCTATGCACATTGTACACACACCCACCCTGCACATCCTCCCATACAGTTTATTTCCATCGCTAGATGGTTTGTAATACCTAATAGAATGTTAATGATAGGTAAAGAGTCATGCTGTTTAGGGAATAATAAAAATATCTGTACGTTTTCAGTCCAAATGCGTTTTTCCTAAATAGTTTTGATTCACACTTTGTTGAATACATGCAAGTTGAATGCGTAGATATCAAAGGAATATTGCATCTTCAACTAACTCGGTGTTTCATTGTTATTTTATTTAATTAATCAATTTTATCAATACATTTAAGGTACACGATGTAATGACAGTCATCACTGGAAATTTGCACCTTTACATAATCCATCTTGGTTATTATTTTTCCCCCATTCCCCTGCCCTCCCTTTTACTTTTTTTTTTTTTTCCTGCTTGATTAGATGTCTTTTGATGCCTTCTCCTCACATTTTAAACATGTTGTGGTATTTTCAGCTCTGAAATTTTTATCATTATTTCAATCTGTTAAATTTTCAATCTGGGCAAATATTATTTTCTCATTTCTTTGAATTGTGTCCCTGTTCTATTTGAAGTCCTCTGAGCTTTCTTCAAGCAGGTGCTTTGAATCTCCAGAGGCTCCACGCATCCCCATTTCTTGAGTCTCCCTTTCTTTGCACTTTGTCTCCCTGGTACTGTCACATTTCCTGGATACTGCTGACCCCCGTGGCCGCTGCTCAATGTCTGCATATGTGAAGTGGGTACTTACTGCTATCCTTGCATCCTGGCTTTTCCCGAAGCCAGGCTATCCCAAGACTCAGGCAGGCCCTCTGTGCCTGCTGCAGAGCTGGAGGCCGCTGGTGCCAGGGCCACCACTGCCTGAGGAGCACGTTGCTGCAGTCAGAGGCCATCAAGGCAGGGGCAGCACAGGTGGGACTGGGTCTGTCTCCAGCTCCTCTGCCTCTGAGTGTGGTCTGGAGCCCCAAGGAATGGTAGCTTGCTGCAGCACTGCAGGCTGGAGGCCCGGTCCTCCTCGCAGGGGCCTTGGGCTCCCTCCTGAGTCAGGGCCGGTCTGTGGGGCTGGGCCATGAGTCACAGTGGGGCCGTCCACCCAGGGTTGCCTTTCACCCCATGACATCTGCTGTCAGAGTGCAGAGCACAGTCCCCACTTGGCCCTCCCTCTGCTGGGTGGGCGGTATTTCTCTCTGTCTAGTGCCGCCCAGGTTGGAGGGCTATTTGGGGTGATAGCGAAATGCCCTTCCTTCTCTTCAGTGCCATCTGTCTTGGCCCTGTGCTACCTGATTCCTGAGGGACTCTTCAGGTGTTTTGCATGGCCCATGTTTTCCATGTGTCCCAGAGGACCGATCGCTCCTCACTGTCTTGCTCCAATTGTTTTGGTATAAAAACTTCAGTCCTTAAAGATGTTTGCTTCCTACTGGCCTTCCTAATACAATCTCGGCACATTTCTGCACAGATTATCTTCCCTCTTGTACACATTTCAAAGACTTCTAGGGAAGGAATGGGGAAGCATGATAGGGACTGGGCTACACACACATCTAAGCAATAGGAAAGGCACAGTGCAGCCTTCTCTCTGGTACTGAAGGCCATGAGAATCTTGATGTGAAACGAGCTGAGTCAGGACTGGACATAAAAGCTCATGTGAGGAGGAGATACCTTCCTCGCTGAGTTCTTCTGTGAGGACGCGCTTGCAGGGTGTCAGGTTTACATTCATCTTGGGGAGCAGGTGTGTGTACAGAACACAGCCCAGTGCTTTTTAACAGTCTCAGCTCTGCATATTGAGCTCCTCATATGTTAAGATATTTTCGAAGTCTTTTATGTCCTTTATGTTTTATCTACAAATATCTTAGTGCAAAGGGAATAGATTTGAGTTACCAAGGGAGACGTTTAGATTTTCATCTTCCACATCAATATCTCAGGCTGATGTCACCCCCTTCCAATTACAAGGCAAACATCATCATGCTTTGAGCATGTTCAGAGATTCCAAAGATCCAGTCAAAGAGGTGTTCTCTTAGCTGTGGGCTTTCAGTGGGAATTTTCAACATTTACTCTGACAACCTGTACAGGACACCAACTTACTTCCTGATAATCTAAACAGGTGAGTCGCTGTTCATTTCTTCTGTACGCATAGCCACTTTCTCTGCCACAGCTTTTTAGGGCTACAGTTCTCTGCAAAAGTGAACCCTCACTACTAACGAGAGCAGAAACACCCACTAATGTGCCCCAATAAGAAAATAACCCAAGTCTCACCGGGCTGTGAAGGATGAAACCAAATGTCTTTTTCCCCCGCTCTTGCTTTTTTCCCTTTTGGCTTACCAAGCAGCCTAGAACTAAGTGCTTATAATGGAATTCAGAAAGAAATACAAGTTCAGATGAAATACTGGAAGCGGGAAACTAGGGTTAATGCTTTATAATATGACAGAAATTAAGCAAAACATCAGACTCTTAGGAAGAACTCTTTTAATGGCTGAAATCAGTCCTTCTGAAGTGAATATAGAAGCAAGAAATGTTACAAAAGCATATTTTATGCACACACTACTCATTGTAATACTCCATACAATAATTCCTTTGTCGTCTTTTACATCTCATGGATTAGAACAGCATTCGGAGGTTGCCTGGTGTAAATTGCAACTGAGTAGAGAAACCCAACTCTCCTCAGACTTCCTGGAGAGCTAAACAACATGGAAACAGCAAAGTCTTTACAATAGGAGGAGCCAAAGAACAAAGGACAATGTCCATCTGCCTGAGTGACAGAAGGTACGAGGCCATTGTCAGGAAGTGAAAAATGGTTATGGTGTCTGCTGCTGCTGTATGAAGGGTTCGGTCCACAAAGAAACTGACAGAGGGCATGATGGTGGCTCAGAGCCTCTCATCCGTCTTGGATCATTCGATGCCTCATTATCTGTGTTCAGGTAGGACAGTGCAGTGACAGCCTGAGGTCTTCCAGGAGCAACTGAACAGGAACAGTCCAAGTGTGATGCGGTTGCCCTTCAGTGAGGGAAGCAGCGATCGGAGACCCAGGGTCTGTCCAGAACATCCACGCCTCTGCTGAGTTCACCACCACAGGACAAATCCACGAATCAGGACCAAATAAAGGACTGGTTCAAGCTAGAAACTGAAAGCGACTCAACTTTACGAACAATGTTCACTTTTGTCCAAAGTATGGATTTTTATGACGTCTTAATCCTTTAAAAAGTGCTGTAGCTTAGTGCAAAATATATATAGAGAGAGCACCACCATTTCTTTAACTAAAAGAAAAGGTGTGTTTTGTAAAAATAAAGCATATTAAATCTCCATATCATAGTTCAGTGTTACCAAAGGTTTTGACATAGCTGGTACACAAATGTAGACTCGTCCACTACCTGTAAAGCAGAAAGACTGTTATTAGTCTCCAGAAAGCAGTGGAGTAGTAAGATAGACACTGAATACTATATATCCAGGATATGAGATTTCCACTAAGCAGCCCAACTTCTCATGGGAAAAATTCTACGACGAACTTTATCTGTGAGACCGGTTCCCATTCAGGGACATGGGGACACATTTCAGGCTGCCTTGTAACTCTTCAGGGCAGCAAATGACAGACAGGGAAGGGGAGCTGGCTAAATCTGCGCTGGAGAAGCCTCCCCCACCCTAATGCCACCTCCCATGCAGAGGGACGCCTGTCGTCCCATTCCGAAGGAACACTGGTGTGTTCCCTTCGAGATGCAGTGGATAAAAAACCCGCTTTACTTTACCATCTTATACTTTATTCCCTCCTGTGCATCTATTGCCTTGCTTTTTTTAGTGGTTTTCAAAATGTTTGCAGATACATAAGTTCTGGAATATTTAAAACTGAGGTTTTAGGAAACATGTATCTCCTGTAATTCTAAATCTAGTAAGTCAAAGAACGGGTGAAGAAGAGTTTTACACAGGCAATAATTTTTCTTATAACAGTAACTGTAACAGCAAAACTACTGTATTTGTTGACAAAGACACCAGCAACTCCCAACTCCTGTATAATTTAGCCAAACATGGGTGCCAACAATTCATCACTCGGGGTCTTTAGGCAGTGATGACACTTTCACGGGCGTCCGCACAGAATGAGCAGGGTGCAGACACCGCCGTTGTGTGTCCACATGTAGCCTTCCTGTTTCCTGTGAATGTTATGTGCTTTACCCAAGTATACATTTTTGTATTGATCTCATTCTTTTATTGGAGCTTTTGATTCCTTTTCTTTTCCTTATAAATCTCAATCCACCTAAATCTTCAAAGTGTTTAATTTTATGCAAGTTTTCCTACTCGGTGATATAAATTATTTGTTTGTGACTTTTAAATATTAGATATAAATAAATATGAACGAGATACAGATTATCTTTTTTGCTAATTGTACAAGACTTGAAACAAGATCATTTTTCACCATCCCTTCCAAAATTATAGATGCAATTTAGTAATCTGTTTGATGTCTGGAGACCTCATTCACTCATTGAGCCTTCATTTGTGTCTAACTTTATACTAATAACACCAAATAGTGGAGGACAAATTTAAAAATAATAATTGGCCAGATATGTCCAGATTTATGTGTGGCCCAACATGTAACATTTAACTTTGGCAAAATTAAAGTAAGAATAAATCAGCATTAGGCAACATACACTTCCGGTGCACCTTCACTCATTTCACGCCCTGCGTTCTGCACGCACAGTAGGAAATCATAAAGGAGACAAACATCACGGCCCCGACACTGAGCAAGGCAATTTCCATGAGGCCAAGCAGCTTTATTTTCCCAGTCACTTGCTTTCGGAACATTTCTGCTTTCTCCTCGCCAATAGTACCAGTCTGTAACCAGAGCAATAATTATTAGGTAGACAGTGAAACAAACGCTCAGCCTGTCTATGTCACCCTTCACGTCTGTTCAGGTGTTTGTCCTCTGTGTCTAAAACATAAGCCTGTGAATCCCTTGTGCATTTCAAAGGAATCACTCCATGTGCTAAAAGAAAGTAATAATTAACCTTCCTTTAAAGAAGCTGCATATGACTGGGGCTTTAGCTCAGTAGTTCCACTGCCTGCCTCGCAAGCACAAGGACCCAAGTTCAATCCCTGGTGCCACAAAAAAAAAAAAAAGAGGCTTCACAGCACTCTTCAGGGTGCTGTGGCTCATTTTATTTTTAGCACTGTGTCCCTGAAATATTTCACAATTGTCCAATGAGTGTATCCCAGGGATGAGGAAATTACAAAAGTGGATGATTTCACTTGCTCTAAAGCTTTATGTGGTGCACTTAGGGATTGTAAGATGGATCAGTGTGGTGGTTCACACCAAAAATAACTCAGCAGTCAGTTAGATAGGCTGGTCCCATCTAGCCTCAGTGGACCTTTATAAGCATTGTTGGCTTTATTAGCCCTAGTGTATTCTGAGAGTTTTGATAATATTTTTGTACTATGTGCATATATGTCTCTTTCCTAAAACAAGTAATGTGACAAGAAAACTATGCAACAGATATATTTCAATGTAATTTTAAAGTGTTATTTTGGTAAATGGGGAGGGGAGAAGGGGGTGAAGGGAGGGCAGGGACAGGGGGAAAAAACGAGAACCAAGACCTGTCATGTAAAGGTATAAGATCCCAATAATGAAAGTAACTGTACTGTATACCTAAAATGTACCAATAAACTCAATGAGGAAAAATAAAATAAAAAAATAAAGCATTATTTTCCTTTGTAAAAGAGAAAAACCCAGAAAATTAACAAATATTTCTCCTTAATTTTCTCAGTCAGATATCATCAGTAATGTGCAGGATCACCCATACAGGCATGGAAATGCACACAAATTCAAATGCTAAATACACATGTAATGTTGCAACATCAAAACTTTATATAAAAAGATGGTATTATTGATAAATTAAAATACTAACCTCATTAAGCCACAGAATGGGCACAATATAATTCCTCTTCAGGCTCTTTAATGTTCTGTAATATACATTGAACATAATTATGAAAATGCATACCAATATATTCATACATATTTAGAAAACACTAGTAATTATTAGGGTAAATAAGATTTCAGGAAATAGTTGACCTTGCATATTGGTTTAGATTCTTGCCTTTGTTCTCTGTAGTAAATCATTTCAGTGTTAGCATACTTCTCAGATTTTTCCCTCATAAATTGCTTTAATACAAATTTCTAATTAGATTGACTTTTTCTAAGCACATATTTTTCTTTTCACCAAGATCTAGTGAGGATAGTAAAATGTGACCTAAAGGTTATTGCAATAAGGAAAATTGGATGTGTAGTAAAATAAGAGATACCACCACAAAACTGAGTTAAAGCATTTCAAAATATAAAATAAATATGACATTTAATAAATACTAGGATTCTCAATTACAAATGGAGATTATCAGAAGCATTCAATACTTATTTTATAATGACATGAAGGAAAAGAGAAGTGGACATTTAATATTCTTTCCACCTTCTTAATTTACTCACATTTTTATAAGAAAATAATACAACTCATCATAGGATAATGTGGTAAAAGATACTTACTCAATTTTTTTTGCTGGCTTAACCAATATGTTGACCTGCAGCCGTTTTGCAAATTGTAAAGTGAATCCAGTTATCTAAAAACAGAACCCACCATGAGAATTACTAATGTTATGTTAACAACCCTATTTATAATATTCAAAACTCACTTTTGCCATGTTGGCAAGAAAGTTCTTAAGCAGAATTTAAGAATCTGAAAGAGGAGCACTGGAAGCTCGTAGAAATCAATTGAGCCTGTGAAATATTACACATGTAAGTACTTAATCACTTTCCAGGTCTGTGTGTCTACACACACGATTTCCTTGGCCAGTGTAAAATCAAGAGTCAATTTTTGCGGTATTTACCTAAAATGGGTTTGAGAAAAATCAACAACAGGAGCAGTGACAAAATGTAAACACTCCTGCTTAATCCCTGAGCTTTGTGTAGTTCAATGTTCAGTCAGAATCCTTGTGTCAGACTTATTAGAGTACTTCACATCATTATTATATAACTCTGGAAAGTTAACAAAGAGTGAAATTGTTGTATTATAGCAATAGTCATTTTTCTTGGCACTACATACACTAGATTTTGGCCCAAATGTACATGTACAAAGATGAAATCTTTCAGTCCCTCATAGCATATATTGACCTTTCCTGGAAATACTTACAGTTAGGTGCAAACAAAAATCGTAATATAGACAAATCATCTAATGATAAGTGAATTTGATGTGTTTTCATCATTAGTTTTCCAAAGCAATGGCTCAATAAATAGCTTACAAAGTTTTATTTCCTCCAACTAAACTAGAATTTTCTTGACATTTATACATCACACTAGGAAGAGAGCAATGTAATTTTTCACTGATATAAAGTTTCAGTAGTTTATTAAGAATAGAGATCAACAGAATGTGATCAGGAAGTATGAAAAAATTAATTTAAATTTGATTTTTAAAGAGAAATATTAAGCAAATAAGATCAATAATGTATGCGCTTACAGGTTCAACATCCAAGTATGTCCTGTGCTCTTCTTCATTTGGGTTTAAACCTTCGATGGGTTCTGAAACATCAGGACTTGCGTGTAGAAAGTGAGGAAGTGAAATGTACACAGGTTTTCCTGAAAACAAGTTTTCAGAGTGAAATGGAAATAAGTCGTTTTTGTCTTTCACATGTCGCTCCAAAATGTTTCCTTAAAAAGCTGTTTTTAGATTTGAAAATACAAAGTTGACTTTGAATAGTTATAGCAGGTTTCTGTTGTACAATCGGAACTTAAAATTACTCACTAGTTAATTGATATCTGTCAATCACTCTTTAGGTGTTAATTTTTACTATGCAAAGCTTAGCTGCTATAGACAGTTTGAAATCTATATCTATATCTATGTGTGTGTGTGTGTGTGTGCACGTGTGTGTGTGTGTGATATATATGTATTCATTCATTCATAGTTCCAGCAGTATATATGTATGGAATATGGAATGAGAATTAATTTACTTCTATTTGCCATTTTTTCGTTGCCAAAAAGAAAGCTAGAACAATGGCGTATGAGCCATTTAGCATGCACAGAGTATTGGGAAATTTTCCTCCTACCCCAAACAGCAGTAGCACAGCATATTATTGGTGTGATTTCCCCCAGTAACAGTTTTCCAACACTGAAGCACAGGGAAGATTCCAGTGCTCTTATAAACCAACATCAAACTTTCCTGCCACAGACCCTCTGCCGTCATTGCTTTAATTTTAAATTTGGGTAGAAAGATGCCCCGGTACGGGCAGGGCTGTACAGAGTGTTTCAGATCATGTCAGAAGCACGCCGGGGACCGTGTTTACGCACCTTCTTTGCACTTGCTGATGTCCAGCACGCCATATGATGTACAGTTTTTTGAGATAACTTTTTCTGTGCAGAAACAATCATTGTCTGGATTTTCAACTGGAGATGCAAAGGCCTTGGCTGGAAGAATAAATCTGTACACAGGGATTCCTTTCAGGTCAACTTCAGATCCAAATATAGCATAGATTGACCTAGACAGGCAGAAAGAACTGTTTTAGAATTTCAAATTCTTATTCATTTCTTAGGAAAAAAAGGGTTTGTGAAATTTAAAAACTTGCCAGAACTCAGCATCTGAATATGAAATATTCTTACTGTTGTTCTCAAAAACTTCTAAGGGTAAGTTTTTCTTATGATCTACCGTGGAGAACTTGTATTAAAATCCTTATTACAGTTATTATAGTTAATTTCCCTTACAGATGATTGATGTGACTTGCTTCAAACTCTTTGCTTGTACATGGTTTAAATGAAAACGTTTTGTCTTTCAGGACTTCTCACCAGAGAGAAAGCCCCCAGCTGGCCAGAAGCCTGTGTGTGTCTGCTTGGTGCGTGGCTGGCGTCCGGCACTGCTCACCAAGAGTCACCTGGCCTAGGAACTGTCAAAGCTCGGTCCGCGTTTGCGTTAATCTCAGGATCGGAGCAGCATTGCTTGATAGGCTTATCAATTTTGCAGATAAGGAAAAGGTTCAGAGAAGTTTCGTGTTTGTCCACAATCGCACAGTCCTTGGGGTCAGGGCTGCGGCTCAGGAGTAGTAGCATGGAGTGCAGGGCTTGTGGGGTGTCACAGAGCCACCCCCCCAGTCTGGAGAGACGCTGCAGGGGCTGCAGAGGACGGAACACACCCCTGAGTCGGGTGCACTGTCTTCTCTGGACCTCTTCAGTGAGATGGAGAGTCCCATCTCGACGTGACTGTTAATGCGCTCAGTGTTCAGGAAAAAACTGAAACATTGTTCTTAGGAAAGGCAAGGAAAATGGCGGACATTGTAAAAGGGTGAAGCAGGGAGTTCTTTTGACCAGAGCTAAGCATTGTGAATTCCATCTCGATGCATTTATGTCGAAAAAACAAAAAAAATGATTTCCTAAGTGTATTTCAGTAACTCAATAACACAGTTATTACATAAAGGCTTCCTGATATTTATTTTATCACATGCAGGAAAAAATATATCTGACACACAGTTATCACACCGGCGTCACTCGCTTACCTGCAAATGTCAGAGGAGAAGAACTGCAATACTCTAGACTTCTCAACAAAAGGTGGAAAGGAGGCTGCATCTGTTTAAAAATTAAGCCATTGGCAGGGAGTTAGGCGTAACACACACTCTAGAAACATCTAGGCTCTCCAGTTCAGCCCAGTGAGCAGAAATGCAATACCAACCACCCACGTAAATAATTTTAAAATTATCTACGATTGCAGCTATTTTAAAAAGTAAAGAGATAGGTATGTTTAAACTATTATGTCCCAAATCCTGTCACTTTAACATGTCATCAATCAAAGGAAGCTACTTCATATCTTCAAAATTCAGTGCATTCGCTTACGTGCAGCACAGTCCGGTCGTGTTTGCTGGCCACATTTCCCGTGAGTGGGTCACACACCACAAGGGGCTAGACATGGTCATGTGTAACAAATTTGCGTGCAACACATTCATTGGTATGGAATCAAAAGCGGTGCAATTGGATGTTAAGCTATGGCTCTGCGATTTGCAAATGGCCTGCCCGCCAGTGAATGGCACTTCCCTTTCATGACTATAATTTCGAACATCTAAAAGTGCCTCATGTTCAATGGTGATTCATTCATCGGCACTAATCGCCGACTCATATTTTTAAAATGACTTGTTACAGTTTTCTCTCTAAATAAAATTTCCTGTAAATTCTTTTGGAAACATATCCACCAAACTGAAAGAGGCAATAATAAATTCTACTGTACTGTGTGGAATAAGTGAAGAAATAACTAGGTACCCCTTGCATTCTCTTCGGTTGGACGTCACCAAATGAGCTGCCATGGAATGTGTTATTTAAAATAGGAAGCCCTGACTTCCAAATGCTTTCCACGTTGTCTTTCTGTGAGTTTTGTTTGAACTCTGTGTCTCCACCACCCTTCATTAACTTTTGGTGATTTTCCCGAGGTCTGGTGCTCACTGTGTAGCCCTGGCACTGAGGGAGCTGAATGTTAAACTCGAGCCAACTCCCCATACTGGATCCTACCTGGGCACTCACCACAGTTGTCTCCTAACATCTTAGCAACTAAAGGAAAATATATTTCATATATATCTAAAAGCACTGGAGATATAATGAAATTATACACCAACATTATCATGGTTAATGACCTTAAGACAGCTGATACTATCAAAAGTTCTGTTTTTACAAAAGAGACACTCTAAAGGTGCACCAATATTTTCATTTTACATCTCTACATTGACTGAAGAAGGTAGAAACTGCACTTGTACAACACAATGTAATCTTCCTGTGCATTAGTCTGTTTCCTGGACGCATTACCAAGATCCGCAAAGTAGGGCCCATCCCTTGTTCTAGCCAACCTGCTTCTACTCCTATTTGTTTCCTTCTAATTTCCTCTTACATGATTTCAACTTTGAATTTGCAGCATTGTCACAATGACTCTCCTAATCTCTACGTCCTTGTATTAAACCTATCTACTTAACTTTGGACAGAATTATTTAACGATGTTTTTTCCTTCAATCTAGAAAGAACTCCTTACTATTTACAATGCATTTCTCTGTCTCTGAGGACTAGGCCTCACGTAACCATGTTGGTGTTTGTAGTATTAAGACATCTGACAGTTTGTCTGCAGAAATGCTGATAGCATTTTTTCCATGGCTCCAAACCCCACAGAGCACACCCAGTAATGTTTTCACTGGACGTTTTCCTGTACAAGACAGGAATAAAACTACATAAACATGCAAAACTTAATTGTGCCTGCATACAATAAACATCCCTTATACTTCTTCTTATGTAATGTTCTTCATTTTTATATCATTTTTGTTTGGTGACCCCTTCACCTACTTTGTAGACCTTACACTGTGCTTCACAATAGTTGAAAGCTCATCTCTGAATTTTAATTCCCTCATGGTATTTGACTCCCACTGCTTTTAAAAATCTTAATTCTTAAACTAACAGACATATGTGTACTTATTTTCTTCAAGCAAAATAGTAAGCTGGATCTAACCATACTACCTGCATAAAAGATTTTAGTTGTTTTCCCCATTGTGCTTCAGAATTCTCATTTTCTAACATATTTTTCATGGTTATTAGACATCTAATCTTGGTAAATATTTTTTCTTTTTTTGCTCTCATTTTGACTAATTGGCCCCAGTAGATGGTTCTGCTCTACAGTTTCACGGATTCTTTCTCAGCTCTGAGTCTCTTTTAAAAGTAGATTTTCTTGGGACTGGGGCTGTAGCTCAGTGGCGCCATGCCTGCCTGCCAAGTGAGAGGTCCTGAGCTTGATCCCTGGTACTGGGGAGAAAAATAAAAGAATGAGGGCCTAGCAATATGTTTTCTCTCTTGTAATTTCCTTTATTTTTCAATTCTAAGTTACTTATGTAGTACTAAGAAGAGATCTGAATAGTAAGTGTGTTTCTTTCTTTCTGTTGGCCACTTATTCCTGTCCCCAGGATGTTCATCACAGTGTCTGCAGAGCAAAGGTTTCCTTTTTAGTGCAGTGAAGGCTGACCCTTAACAGTCCATCTCGAGAAATCTCATTACACTGTGCAGATGTTCACTAAGCCTACACGAGAAGAGACTGGATTATTTCGTGACAATTTAAGACCCATAAATGCATAACCTCAATCTTCCAAACACCACAGGCTTGATGGGTTTGTGGAAAAAGGTGAGTTTCCTCACTGCGACTATTACTACAAAAGTTCTTACCTGTGCCATTTATCAGGTCGCAATAGCTTTGCCAATAGGAGAGATTCCTGAGGAATAAAAAGAGAGATGAGCAGATATTGTAATTCCAAAATCACCGTTCTCACATCACTTTCTCTATTGTGATTCATGGCTCCTGCTTTCATAATGATAATTCATCCAACCTGGATATTTGGTTTCAACTTTTCATCTTACTGCATTACATGAAGTGCTTGATTCTATTACGTGCCCAGGTGGTACAGTAAAAACTGCTAAGTGAGAATTAAATCATAAACAATTTGGAATAGATGTAGAAGGAACTGGGAGACACTTGTCAGAAATGGAGAACGCTTTTCCAGTGAGAGCAGTGATTACTGGGTAAGTCATACTGAAAAGGAGGAAAGTAGTAAGTGGGATACTGACCTGAACTCAGTATGAGGTGAAAGGACAGGCAGGAAGAGTAAAAGAGAAGGTGTTTAGATCCATAGAATTCCAAACATGTAATATTAAATTCTAAACTTTGTACCCATTTAACTTTTTCATGGCCTGCTGCTAAAGGACAGAGCTTATTCAGCTTGTGTTTAGCATTTAAAAAATGCAAACATTCATTCCCTCTCTCCATACACACCCAGATGTGTGCTAAAATATAGGCTTAATGTTTAAAGTTTTTACACATTATCACAACAGGAGACACATAGCCATGAATGCCCCTCACGGCACTCGTCCTTGCTCCAACCACCCTTACCCCTTTGTCATTGCCACTTTCCGAAGCAGTTCTGGAAGTTCTCTGATATTGTTATGATACAAAAATGCACTGAATGCTCTGCCAAGAGCCATCCAAGGGAAAGGCGGGCTCTTAACGAATTACTGTGTGCTCCCCTCCAGCTCCCTCACTGGGTCAGACATCATGCGACTGCTGGCTCTTCCCCAAAGTCAAAACGACCATGAAAGGGAAATGCTTTCAATCAGTTCAGGACATCAAGGCAGCCAGGACAGCACAGCTAAAGACACGCAGTAAAGAGGACTCCAGAGCTTCTCCAGAAAGCAGCAAGAGCGATAGGATGAGTGCGCTGTAATGAGGGGCAGTTAGTTGAGGGGGCTCATAGCATTGTGTCTTCTATTATAATAAACATTTTTAAAATTTAAATATTCACCGTATTTTGTGAGCACACCTTATATAGAAAGTGATTTAAAAAGCAGGTAGTAGTAATTTCTTTGCACCTTCAGACATTTTTAGTGATTAAAAAACTGCTTTTTTTTAAACTAATAACATCACGTCATGTATGGACACAAAATTTCACACCATTCTTAAGCAGAATAAACTGTTAATCATGCTCAGTACTGTTATGGGGACCCAAGTAATCTCATTATAAGGTGTTCCATAACTCTAATTAGAAATATTTAACAGCTGTCCTCAAAACCACTCATTATAATATTGAAATAGCCATTGTTCCTTAATATATAGAGAGATATGATTCCCCTTGAAATAAAAACTTGCTTTCCTTACCAACTTTTCTAAAAAATTTTTGCAAATTCTTTAGAAAGAACATTCAGTAAATATTTAATTGCCAGATGGCATTGTTAGGGGCTCAGATTGAGGAAGTAGCTGTATTAATAAAAATGTCTAATCTGTTTCTGTTTTGATCTCTATTCTTTGTCAGGAAATAACCATTCTAAGGGAGAATCATTTCTCCCTGATCTTTATTCTTCCTACTTAGACATTTGATAGTTTATGAATCCGTCAGCAATGGCTTTGTGAAATTATTCTGTTCTTTTAGCACTTCTACTTTTCAAATTCTTTTCGCTTTCATTGGGTGTGAGAAGTCACCATAATGCTGTCTGTACAGAGAGACAGAAACGGTCCTCGAGCGTTTCTCTGGGAAGCCGAGCTGGACCTGGAGGAAACCAAACCCCCACCCAGACCCAGGCTCGGGAACGCGCACCCGTGCGCTGCCCACTTCCCAGCCCTCACGCTGGCAAGGATGCGCGCAGGGGAGGGGTCCAGGCCACCGTAGCCAGCTCTTTCCCAGGGTGGTGCTGTGCCTCACCAGCCGATCAGTGCGACCCTGCCTAGGGCAGCGGACAGACGCCACACTTCACCTGGATACTCACTTTCCGCCTTTGTAAGTGTCGATTATGGCCACGTTGCTTATGTTGTCTTTCCCGTTGAAAACCTTATAGACTCCATCTACAGTGTTGTTGTACTGAAAACATAGACAAAAAATTACTCATCCAGAGTCATTTTCCAAATTATAACAAACACTAGTTACTCATAAATTTATATCACTTGACATATATAATTCTGTAAGCATAGGGCTTTCAATTTTTGAAAGCGTAAAATATAAAAGTTGCCTAGAAATAAGTGCTAGATACTGAGACAAAGTAAGAAATTAAGTATCCAGATTCCAATACTAATTATCTAATTAATTCCAACATAACTAACCAGTGAGGCTACTGGAGCTACCATTCCTGTTATGTCAAACAGAGGGTGCAATGCTCACAAGCTGTGCGGCCAAGGACAGATTTCTAGAGGTTTTCTAAGCATTAAGAGTGTTGATAAGTGGACATTAAAGTGATAAGAAAATAGGCATGCAAAACTAAAAACACAGTCTACCAACGAAAGACTTCAAATAACTGAATGTCTTATCCCTTAAGGCTTTCTATATCAATATTTAATGGATGTGTAACCTTGAAATACAAAGCACTATCTAAACGTAAGGAGAATTAGAAATTACAAGGAACACCCATATACTACCAAAAAAATTACAAGTCAGCAAACAGTTTTTCCTATTGCTAATTCAACGTGTGAAGCAATATCCAGGCCCACCATCCCATGCACATTTTCTTCTTAACTTGCAAACTGGCCTTTCATGACATTCGTGGACCTCTAGAAGTTCTTAATGTCAAACCTCATTAAAATAAGGCTTCCTGACTTATTGATCTTACTGAAATATGCCAAGTTTTAAAATAAAGAGTTTGCAAGGTATAGAGAAGGCGAAATGATAAGATAAATGCATCTCACACCAAAAATATGTCGAACTTGTGAAAAGAGCAACCACGATGGAAAATAGTGTTCAGAGACCTTCAGAGTGACAATCTAGACACACTGTATCATTTACAAGGAGAAAGATGATGGTTACAAATTAAAATTGCAGTACTGTAGTTAAACTAATTAGGGAAAACTGCAATCTCACGAGATAGAGAGTTTAAAATTGTTCAGATATGCAATCCCAGATCCACAGCTGGGCTGACACTCCAAACGACGGGTCATGCCTTCCATGGGCGCTGTGCGGCTGTCCCTGGTAGGTACTCACGGGATAGAACACGCCGACAGTGGTAGGGACGGGGTACGGAACCAGAGTCAGGAATGGGTCCTTGTATCCCCACAACAGCTCCCTCACGGTTCTGGTTTGGAACATGGAGGATTTGGACTTTTTGATGAGAGAATTCAGCACTGACTGAACAAAGGAATTCGTGTAGATGTGAGCTGCGACCTGCAAGAGAGAGGACTGATGAAGGCCCTGGAGCGGCGCCGGGTTTGAGCAGGAATAAACAGACGGAGTGCGCGAGCTCCGCTTGATAAAAGACTTTAGAACCGCACTTTTGAAACAGTTATCAAATCACACCTGGAATAAAAGTACAGTTGACAGAATCCCTGGATAATGGCATCTCTCTGCCTTGCTGCCAGCCACGTGAAGCTTCCCTGCTAAACCTGATCTTTTAATGATGCTCAGAAATCAATCTTCTACGCGATTGTTATGATTTTGTCATTGTTCCAAATGACTACAACTCCACACAAAGCACAACATAGGGAAGATTTTTACAAAAACCGTGTAATAACAAATCGTATAATAATTCTAACAGATCCATGCAGGTAGGTTCTGGAGTTTTAGAGACAGGGAACTTTGTTGTTGCCTACTCACTGCCACGGCCAGATTAAGGACGGTGAAGGTGTCATTCTCTGACCCCACCGACATGGAAGGCACAAAGATGGCCCCGTTGGGCTGCACGAAAGAGACCGTGTGGTCCTCGGGGTCCTGCGTTACATTCTCCTTGGCCAGATAGCGAACTCTGAAAGAAACAGAAGGTAACAAAATTCAGAAAAACTGTCTTGTGTGAACATTTGGTTTCAAATGCCATTCACTCCTTCACTAAAAATATGATTTGCATGTTTGTAAATGGGGAGGGGAGGAGGGGGTGAAGGGAGGGCAGGCACAAGGGGAAAAAATGAGAACCAAGACCTGTCATGTAGAGGTCCAAGATCCCAGTAATGAATGTAACTGTACCGTATACCTAGAATGTATCAATAAACTCAATAAAAAGAAAGAAAAAGAAAAGTAATATGATGCAGAGTATGCTAGAGATGATGCTAAAAAGGGGAAGAGGGGGTGAAGGGAGGGCAGGCACAAGGGGAAAAAATGAGAACCAAGACCTGTCATGTAGAGGTCCAAGATCCCAGTAATGAATGTAACTGTACCGTATACCTAGAATGTATCAATAAACTCAATAAAAAGAAAGAAAAAGAAAAGTAATATGATGCAGAGTATGCTAGAGGTGATGCTAAAAAGGGGAAGAGGTGATGGTCACCAGGCAGGGCCTCCAGCATACTCATCTGAAGGCTTCCTCAGCTTTCACACACAAGAAAGTGGGAGGGTAGGGACAGGAGCTCGTAATGAGACTTTGTCAACACAGAGCGCACGGGGAAAGAGAACAGACACCGATCCAGGCTTGGGCTGGTCATTGAGAGGAGTTAGGACTCAGATCCACTTTGGTAGCAAGTTCAAGCAGGGAGTCTAACTACCAAACACAAGCTTACTTAGGGAAACTAGGATAGGAAATGGCATCCATGAAAGAGGAAAGAAAAGGAAGTGTCGGAGGAAAAGCAAATGTTTGAGTTTGAAAGGTAGAGAGAGAATACAAGCCATGGTAGGAAATGAAATCACGGAAAGAGCCAGATCTCTAACAAGATAGGATACAGGGACACATGGCAGTCTCAGTCCGGAGAGCAAGAGAGAGACACAAGAGGACGTGGGAACCCTGAGTACCTTTCCTTACGCAGAACTCCCCAGGCACACAGGTGAACCCACACAGCCCTTAATGCACAGATAGACATATATACACTCAACGCTTATCCTGGGATCCTGTTTTTACATCTTGAGGATGCAAAGTAACAAGTACTTTGTAGGAATGTGGGGAGGATTAATTAACTGGAGAAGTCTTCTACAAATGCAAGAGAGCCACTGAGATTAAACAAGCTTTATATCATTTGTCTCACTGCCATATATTTGAGTGTCTGCTATGTGAGATGAACAGATAAAGCATAAAACAGCATCAGACTAAAATTTAAATAAAATATATTTTAAAATATGAAATAGAAATGTGAATTTCTACAGCATGGGGATTATGTGTGATTTATATCTGATGAACATCTATAAAACATGGCTATAAGTTCAACTTTTTCTCCTATTCGCCCCCATGGCGTCTCTAGACAATGAAGAGAATTAAACTCAGGCTTTTTTGTCTCCTAGAGAGAAGACTCTCTAGGTTAAAGACACCAACAATAAAATTTTTATTAGCTGTCACCTATCAGGGGAGAATATAATTTTCCCAATGGATGTCTGATACACAGTGAGTTGTATCTTCTTACTTTTTAAAGAATAAATTAATGTCTCACATTATTTCAAAAAAGGCCCTAAAGCATGCTAGAAGGATATTTATTTTTAATACACTTTCAGCAAATCTTCTTTTATTCTATGAGTAAAATAGTTATATAAAAAATATAAAAACCTGAAACACAAAAGACAATTGGATATGTCCTTTTCTCTCAAACAGATGCTTTAAAGTATATATTGTTAACATTTCTAATCAAACTACCAGCATTTTAAGAACATTCGTGTATGCATGAGAGTTGAAACTTGAGCAAAAGATTTGTGAACCAACTTCACTTTCTTAAATTACACCTACAAGATCATACCAGTAGATGGCATTCACAAAGAGAAAATACTTAAAACCAAGCTCGGTCTTTAGAAAGTAATTTTTAAAATCCTTAACAAGCAAAGAAATTAAACTCATACCTCTTTTTTCCTTTCAGAAGGAGAGATTAAAGACTCTGATAATAAAATTGTAATCAGCCATCACCTACCAAGGGAGAATTACGTGCAATAATACTATGCTTATGTTTCCTCATATATCCCAAATAATATCCTGATTAAAAGTGGGGGAAAAAAGCCACCCTCAACCAAAAAGCAGAAAATACGACAGGCTCTCCAACTCCAACAATTACTATCATTCCTCACACTTATTCAAGCCATTCAGGTTACAGTTTTGTAAACCACTGTGCTTAAACTTTTATTGGCTGTCCTGGGAATCCCAGAGTTTCACAGGATCATAGCTAGAACACTCTTTTAGGACAAGAGGTTCATGCCGGCTTCTGCCAATAACAGAAGGTCTGTAAGACCCCGGGGAAAAAGTGTTTTCCAAGATAGAATTTTTCCCTGTAACTATGAAAACCAAGTCTTCTTCAACACAGAAAAGTGACTAGAAGACTGCAGCTTAGGGACAGCACAGGATGCCGCGGGCGCCTTCGGTAGCTGTTCCATCACCGTATAGCAGGGGGCGCTGCTCTCCCAATGACTACTATGGCCTCAGTATAATCTGTGGGTCAGTCGTTAATTTACCATCAATTACACAATTATACAACATCCAAACCTGCAACGATGAATTATAAAAAGTTACAAATATAAAATCCTGTTAATTCATAGACTCAGTAGTTTTAATTATTTTAATTATTCTTGAGGGAAAAATCGCATATTTGATAGGATTTAATGATGTTTTCATATATTTATAAAACTTTTGATCATCTTTGGTTATAGAGTGGCACTGTTAGCACCTCAGTTTTCATGTTAAATTCTTCTGGTAGTTGAAAAAGGAGTCTACAATTTAAATTAAAAATGTATTCAAGGGCCGGGGATTTAGCTCAGCAGTTCAGTGGCCTGCCTTGCAAGCTCAAGGACCAGAGTTCAATCCCCGGTACCAAAAAAAAAAAAAAAAAAAAGTATTAAAAATCTAATAATTCCCAGTTTCTAAATCTGTGGGAAGAACATGCATCTCTGTTGGTGTCTGTATTTTTCACAAAGCGAGGGTTTCCGGTGAGCCATTTCCCCCACTTTTACACTCTGAGATCCTATTCAGGTGTGTGAGGAACTCTGAGGGAGTGTAGGATAAAAGAATACAACACTTAGTCTCAGTAGAAGAGAACAGAGAAGAATGGAACTACTAGATAAACCTGCTAACTTTTGATGCAACCTGAAAATCGCTCTCAATATCAATCCCTAGCAGGTGCCATATTTAAGTAGAAGCAGTTCTGTGCCATGGTTCTCAAAGCTGAGAGAATCAGAATCAGCAGAGGGCTTCAAGGGCCACTCCTGGGCCAGTGCCAGGGTGTCAGTCCCAGGTGGCATACCTGTGGTGGGAGTAAACCCAGCAAGTCTCCCGGGCTACTCCTGGGTCTGGGAGCCACAGGCTGACAACCACTGACAGAAGACGCAAGTCTGCTTCAGAGATCTTAAATCTGTGTGTGCGTGCTTCTGCCTGTCCGGCCTGCCCATTCCAGTGTGGTTGGGACCTTAGCCACAAGTGCTGTACGGAACTGCTGTAACTTCCTAAGCCAGGACTGCTCAACTCATAATAAAATCTACACATTATAGGTGTTTGGGCAATTTGTATATATTTCCATTTATGAAAGCAATTATTAAGTCCTTAGATGAGGGTCCGATGCAGGTAGGAAACAGTATTTCAAGGGATACCATTGGCAGGAAAGTAAGTACATGTCGGTAAGTATGTGTATTGGAAGATGGAAGCCATCTCAGAAACACCCTGGAGGAAGAGTGCCACTTGTGTGTGGAAGCCACTTACCTGTAGGTGTAGGGGCCTTTCTGCTTCACCTTTATGTTGCTGCTTTTCACTATCACGTCCTGTGGATTTTGCACATCAAAGATCCAAAACTGTCTGTAAACTTCTGTGCCTGTTTTAACCCAGTTTTTAAAGGCAATTGTACCTTCCTCAAGGACGACTTCCTACGAAACAGAAACAAGTTTGGGTTTTTTCTTTGTGGAAAACACAGGGACTCCTGAGGGTTTGTTTATCATCCTCAGTCGGACAGAATGGAGGGAGCAACCTCCAGGATTTGCTAACCCAACCCTAACCCTAACTTCTTCTTCGGGTTGACCTTTCATGAAGAGAATGGGTGTGTACACCAGAAGCCAGGACTGCCGAGTTTAAGGCAAGCTTTGAAAAGCTTCCCTAGCGATATGGCAACAGTCAGTAAGCAGTTATTGAGCAAATGTAGTTAAAATTCTTACTAAAGTCCTTCCCGAGTTGAATCTTCTGTCCCTAAACAGCTATACTGATGAAGTAAAAACAGAAAAGAGGAAAATCTAGTAGCATTGGAAGATTTTTTTTTTTTCAGAGTTGGGCAATTCAGAAGATGATGCCTTCACATTTATTAAAACAAGAAAGTAAATCCTTAAGGATGAAAACTGCAAACGTGACTCTTCTTTTCGGACTCAGGATTAATACAGCTTCCCTAACTGCTGCTACATTTGCAAATACTCACCACTCCATAACTCTGCAATGTGCAACTAATTCATTATTACTTGGTTGATAGTTTTTAAAGAAGAGAAGATAAGAAAACTTCTCCTTTTTTGTGAAATCCATTACAAATCATTAATGCTCTTTGCATTGTCTGAAAACAGACAAGTGGAAAGTACAACAATGCCAGCACTTAAAAACCTACATTAGCAACTTGGTCCCTTGCTTCAGGAGCTTTGGGACCAAGTGGAAAATTGCAAACCCCTCTGGGTTCATTTCATTATCTGTAGGGTGAAGGAGTTACCATAGATGCTCTCCCAGGTTCTTTCCTGGCCTTTCCCTCTCTGAGCAGGATGTCTGCATTGCTATAGCAACAAGTGTAAACAAAGGAGATTTTATAGATGGTAAGCACCTTGGGAAGACTGCCCAGGTGCAAGAGCTCTAACTGACCTAGCACCCGAGGAAGAGGATGAAAGCTACTTCACAGAAAATGAGGTGAAAGACCCACAGTTACAGGAACAATCTGACCTATTTTTGTTCTTTCACCAGGAAGCATCGGCTCATGGAATGAAGGGATCAGGAGGACACAGGGCTCTGTCACATTATCCAGTAGAGCACACAGAGATGGGGTAGCTGTGTAGCTGGCGTAATATGGTGACAGAGTAGTGGGAGCATAATTGCAGGCAAAATCCTTTCCTCTGACCCGTCAATTCCTCCCCATTCACATGCTAGTTCTGGCCTTCAAGATCTTTTCTGTGTCCCCCTGCACTTACTTGGTAGAAGTCAAATTAAGATTCATATCTTCAGGATCTCCATTGCTCACTGCAGAGAATTCCCTGCAGAAAAACTGAGCATCCAGTTCAACTTTGATTACCAAACCCATGTTGTTGTGATCCCCTGACCCTGGGGACCAGAGCTGAGCTGTTAGGCCAATGTTCCAATTCTTACTGTGGTTACAACTCCTCCTTGGAAAACCTTTTATTTGCCCCCCAAAATGCTTATTTCCACACTAATAAGCCAAACATTAACACAAAATTGTCTAAATTATTATGAGTTTTCTTTTAAAAGTGAAAGTGTGAACACTGAAGTTGACTTGACGGACTACCCAGGAAATGCCAACTGGCTTCATTCCTCCACCCTTTAGAACCGAAGTGAAGGAAAACATACGCACAATTATTTACACCCTATAACATTTTAAGGCCTAAGGCAGTATCTATTATTTATCTGTGCCTCTCTGAGTACAGATTTTAGCTTAGTCTCCCACAAATTCTACAGAATGGAAAGGGGATTGACTGAAGAGCGAGACACCCTCTAAGGCTCGTGTATGTGCATCTAACCCCCACAAGACTTGATAAGTGTATGATCCCTTTTACATCTAATGCCTATAAATTATTTTATTTCTTGCTCTAGATTTTTAATGAGAAATTGAAACTTGAAAAGTGGAAACAAATGCTTGGAATTATCAGGTGGTTAGGGTTGGACTACCTACAAATTCAGGTATTGAAAATGAGTCCAAGTAAAACCAGTGTCTAGTTCAATGTTAAATATGTAGCAGATAGTTAAAAAAATCAGGGCTTTTTCACTCCATTCTAATGTGGTGTCTATAGCTTCATGATTTGGTCAAAGACAGAGGAAAAAGTATTAACGTAGACAAAAGTAAGAACGCAATTATTCTGATGCTAATACTATTGCCTGTGTTAGAAAATTGCATAGCTGCTCCTTGAATACCAAGACTCAATACCAGAAATTCTTAATTTTAAAGGAGAAAAATAATGTATAGTCTATGTGAATTTCAAAGAGCTTCATCTTAAACTGAATTGGACTATTAATCTACTTTGCAAATCTTTCACTAGATTTGAAGCACAAAGCTGATAACTATGTACATAGCAAAAGCAGTGTAATTTTGGATTTTCTCGCTTGGTTAACATGAAAATCAGTCTTTGTCCCAGACAGCGAGTGTACAGCGTGCTGAGCTACAGAAAGAGGGGCCAGGTCCCAGCCTGGTAACCTGCATGGCAGTGTCTCCAGCTGGGCTGAAAGCCACCGACCTCGTCCATGCCAATGTGAAAACAAATTTTTCAGACAAAAATATCTAGTACATAACTGATTACCACTGTTGAGTGGAAACAATTCTTATCTGCTTAATTGGCATCATTTAGCACAACCACTAAAGTGCCCCTTGTACTCCTGTGTGCAGTGAGGAGAGCCGCGTGGGCTCCTGTCTGCAGTACCAGTGCAAAGGCTGAAAGCCAGTGTCTCGTTTCTCCAGGACCCTGTGAAGGCCTGAAAGACAGAACCGTGCACTGCAGAGCTGAGTCTGTAAGTCAGTCTGCCATGCTGCCCTGCTCTGACAAAATGCACTTTCTTCCTCCTTCTCAGCACTGAGAGAAACGAGGTGCTACTGGTCTGAGCTATGGTTTGGTTGCTTCACAACTGTGTAAAATTTGCAGTTTACTGACTGTCATCTTGTCTGCTCCTTACCCGTGCAATGAGGACAATAATATTAGCTTGAATCTTCTGAACTTTGCATTTTTGAAAGTTTAATCACATTGAGTATTGACTTTTGCATTTGGTTTAAATATGTATGAGGTTCAATAAATGTAACCACTCAGAGCAGAGTTAACACACAGCAGATGTTCCATAAACGGCAGTGATTAGTACTGCGGAATCCCATCTCCTCTTCGGAGCCAGACCCCTAATACTGACTCAGCCCCCAAGTACAGTTTCCACGGCTTGACACATGGGTGTCACTGTCTAACCCAGTCCTGTGGCAACTATTCTCGGAGAGGCCTGCAGCACTCCTTTCTGCTGCTCAGGCACTTTTATATTCATTCCCTCTCCATTAAAACAAACATCTCCTTAAAAACACAGTGCCGGGAAGTGTGTACCTTGCAGGCAGCTCAGGCCTTCACTATGGATCTGTCCACAAAGGTCAAAGAAAGACGCTGGCTGTGCGGGACCCTGGGAAGTGTCACACAAAAATACTGCTAAGAAAGCTGTCATGTCTTGCTCTTTATTTCCTGTTTATTTCAAAATCCTCACTGGTCATGTTCATCATCATTTCCTAAGGTTCACCAACCAGAAAACATTTTATTCTTGCCTTGAGTTCTTGCTTTCTACTAAATTTTAAAATTATACATTTTGGCTTCTATTTCTTCACAAGATAATAATTCCTTTTCCTCTTGTGCTTTGGATTTCCCCACCTCTGATTACAGAAAAACCCTGAAAGGAATCTCTGTTTTCTCCACTTTTAAACTCTCTGGTAAACAAATCTTTCCGATTTTATCTGTAATCTCCACAGCACTGAGTGAGTCCAGCTGAGGCGAGGCCTCACCTGTGAAATACAGAGGCATTAAGCATGCGAGGTTCATACCTAACCTCTCGCAGGTCATTTCCCACTTCCTTGGGGATGCGTTTCTATGGTAACTCAGCCGGGCGTCTGTGCTGATTTCCACCTCTCTCCTAAGCCACCTCCTCTACGCCCCCAACTGCCCATCTCCATCCGCATCTTCGGTGGACCTCTGCGTAGTGGACCTGAGTGCCTTCTGTTCCCTGAGAGCCAGTTACGGTCAGGCGGAGACCTTGTCAGGAGCAGCCGAAACTCTCGCTGCGGTCCCACCCTGCGTCCTACACAGCTTCTGTCTGCTTCCGCCTCGGGTCTCCTTGCTCTTCGGCCTCTGCACTGAAGAAGCAGCCGGCTCAGGATTGTGCTCCTCCTGCGTCCGGACCCAGCTCCCTTCCTGCCGGCCGTTGGGTTAGCAAATTGAGTCAAGCCCTTCTCGTATAAAAGGGGCAAATTAATGCTATTTTCTTATAATATAGAAAGGTTAAATGGATTTTTACAGAGAACCTCTGAGTAAGCACTAAGTAAATGCTAAGCATTTCACCAGAGCACTTTCCATGCGCAGGCTTTGTTAACATCTTCCCAAATAATACCCCAGCCGCTCCTTCGTGTTCCTGTCGGATTATCCATTCTGATGGCGCTTAACGCTTCTCAACGCCAACAGCACACGGTGGTTCCCGGCTCTCCTGCTACTCCAGAGCACATCTGTGCCCGGCTTCACTTCGCAGCGCTCATCCAACACCGCCACACAGTCTTCGCTGGACTGGAGACTTCTGCACGTCTTCAAAGACCCAATTTAAGCCCCACCTTCTCCCCTGAAGATTCTTGAACCTCGAAGGCACCTCTTGCTCGACATGTCACTTGCTTCTCACGCGGTGCACAATTCAATTCTAAAGTCTCCTGGGTCTCTTGTTTTTCTATAGGATATGCTTTTGCCTAGTTGTATCTTAACTTGAAATACAAATTAATTCATTTTACAAAAAAATCATTTTACTGTATCCTAATCTCTATTCAAAGGCCTTTGTTGGTATAGTTTTGAGACAGTGTCTCACTACGCAGCCCAAGAATGGTCCAGAACTCAGGGAGATCCTCTTACTTCATTACAATTTCATTACAACAGTGAGAAAGGCACTTTTTTTTTTTTTTTTTTTTTTTTTTTTTTTTGGTACCAGGGATTGAATTCCAGACCTTGTGCTTGCCATACCTCAAAACTCTTGTGATTAACCTTCGTGAGCTTGGAGATAAATTTTAAATAATTAGCTTAAAATAGGTGCTTGTACTCAAAGGCCATCCAGAAAGAGTCTATATGCACTAGTTTTGTTAGATAAAGAAAAAATTTAGGTGATCAATGCTTAGGTATTGATCAATGATAATGTATAAGAAAAACATCCCAAATACTGTGCACGGAGAGAACCTCTTTGTTCAGAAGAATTTTCCAGAAGAGAAGCTATAATCTGCATGTTGATACAGAGAGGGAAACGGCCTCCCCCTGCAGGGAATCAGGGGAAGCAGAGATAATGGCAGGGAAGTGGCAGAGATTCCTTCTCACAGTATCTACAAGTTCGGTCTCACGGCCACCCGTCTGTCCCTGTCGGTCTCTGCCAGCAAAACCCAGAATTCCAAGGAAAGGAATATGATTCCACTAATGATCCTCCGCATTTAGTATATGACATGATGTATAATATTGAGTGTTACTTATATACACATATACATTCTTGTTAAACCCCTGAGGTTGAAGGTGTGCAGGCTGTTAACAAGAGTTAGAAATGACTACTGAGAAAGAAAATGTAGCATGATTATCTTCAAGGCTTCATTTTTTTTTCAGTAAGACAGCTATTCAAATTGGTACAGGGGATTGTTTTTAGCTTAAATCACATAGCATTTTTAGCCAAAGAAAGATCAGAAAGCAGTACCTGCTTTTTCTAAGCAGGCAGATTGGAAATCAGGTCTTCATAGTTCTTGTCAGGCCAAAGCTTCTGTATCCCCTGGCGGTGAGGGAGGCGAAGCCTGGGGGCAGCGCACACGAACAGCTCTCACCTCTTCTCTCACTGTCCTTCCCAAGGGCTCATCTCCGCTCTCCATGTGATCCCCAAGCCCCCGATGAGGCAGAAGCTGAAGTCAGTACGCAGCCCAGCATCGCTGCTGAGGACAGAGAGCCTCCCGTCCACAGCAGGGCCTGCTGGTCAGCCTCCATGTCTTCGGAAGCTTAATTTCTCTTTAGTCTCCATCACCAGACTCCAAGAGCCACTGGGATTTCTCTTCCCTTGCGTAGGTCAGCAGCAGATCTACTCCCCTCCTTCCATCCTTTTAAACTTTAAAGTTTTCTATCAGTACATGTTTGTGATCGGTGCTGACTCCCTCCATCCAGAGTGATGCATCATGATTCTATTTGATGGCTGCAGCATGGTCTGTTCTACTCAGAGATTCTCTTCACTGCGTCACCCGGAGACTCTGCTCCTTCTGGGGGAGCTGGTGGGTGTACATAACATGTGTTCCTTCTTTGTACATCCTCTCTCCCCTCACTCCATCTTTGTCTTCTTCACACTTGCAAAATATCTACCTTCCTGTTACTATATATCTTTTAATTTGCTCTGTGATTTATTTGTGTTTGGGGTTTCTCATATCGCAGAAACTGTGTGACATCTAAGCTAGTCTGATTGACGTGTCTGAGTTATTTTACTTCATATGCTGTCAATTAAAATTTCAGATATCTAGAGTAGTTGGTATGCACCAGCTAGGCTGTGGTTTGTGTAAATTTTGTCTGTTGGGTCACTAACTTTAGTTAAAACCACAGTTGATCTGTTGATGTATCCTGAGGTGTATCCAATATAACATATTTCTGCATTTTCTGGATCAAATATAAACTTTGTAAATAGAAAATATTTATAAGATAGTCAAATTATTACACATATTTTAAATAGCCATTTTTCAGTTTACCAAAGGGCCCTGTTCTTTTATATTTATTAAACACACATATGTAGAAACAGATACACATGTGTACACACATAAGTACAGGTACACACACACACACACACACACACACTCAGGATGCCACTTTCTCAGTATTAACTTGACAACACAATTACAAAATATCTTCATTATTTTGCCTTCCAAACTATGTCAATGTATTGTTGTACCTATCAACCTACACACCCCCAATCCTTGCATCAAAATGAGCCATTTGTATTTAGGACTGAAATGCGTGCTTGTTGGATATGCCCTAGACTTGTAAGAGTCCTCGCATGCTCGGTGTCATTAGAGTCGTGCTGCTACGTGGTCACCTGTGTGTGGAAGGCAAAAGCATCTCCGTTTACTGCGACACACACAACAGGCCGCCGGACGGACAGCCCCACAGACAGGGAGAGGTGGGCGCACAGCGCTCTTCCTACCTTCTTGATGGTCTTCTGCACCAGCAGGTCTCCGACTGGCATGAGAATCCCGCCCAGCACGGCCAGCACTGCGCCGATCACTGCCCCGGCGATGAGCCCGCGGTTCCGATCACAGCCCATGTTTCCAGTGCAGCCCAAGCGCCCGCCTGAGCCCGACTCCCGGCTCCAAGGAAGGTGTCTTCTCTGCGGCCCTGTTCTATCTATCATCAGAACAAGATCATAAAGCAGAAGGTGGAATAACAGCACAGAAAGATCAAAGTACAAAGATACACGGAACCGAAACAGGTGTCTTTGCCAGCTGGAAATGCTTGTCCTGGTTTGGGTCTGACCACACTGTCTTTCCAGGTTCTTCTCCCACACATCTTTTGCACTAGCTGCCTGCCTGGCCCCAATACTGTGAGAGGGTGTCTCTGAAAACTTGTGTCTTCTCTCCTCTCCTGCGAGCGAGTGCCACACCAGAGACTCACCCGAGGAGAGCCAGGACCCTGGGCTTTTGAACTCCATGCTTCTCCTCCCTGCCTGTCTCCTACCTGGTGTCTCTACCCTAGCACAACCATCCCCCAGATCAGGGCTTCTGCTAAGGGAAGGGGTCTGAGCTGGTGGCTTCTCTGCCCGAACGTTGATCGAGTATGGTAACAGAGATTTCTCTTACTATATACCTTATCCACAAACAGCAGACACTGTAATGGGCTTCACAGGAAGTGACCAGGTGGATCTCAGGATAAATCAGTTCTTCTAATCATTTGCAAGCTACCTGCTAGAACAGAAAGCATGAGTAAGCAGGGGAAATTCACTATCAGAAAATGAGTACAGGGCACTGTCTGCCATCACCCTCATTATAACTGCTAGGACAAAATTCCATTTTGTGAATACAGAGCTTATGTCTGACGTGTTTGTCTTACAAAAATCATGGAAAAAACTGAATTGAAGTGCATTTCACCTTTAAATAAAAGTAAAGGACATTTTATTTATTTATTTATTTATTTATTTATTTATTTATTTATTTATTTATTTATTTATAAGACAGGGTCTCACTATGTAGCTGCGACTGACCTGGAACTCACTATGTAGCCCAGGCTGGTCTGGAACTCACAGTGATCCTCCTGCCTCAGCCTCCCTAGTGCTAGGATTACAGGCGTGTGCCACCACACCCAGCCAAGTACATTTTATTTTTAACTTCGGTGTTAGTTACTTTTGGGTAGACCAGGTAAAAAGAATTTGAAGAAAATGCACGCAGTAAAAGGCTATTTGTTTTAATTGTAGGTATTGCTTTGCTTTACTGGAATGTTATTCATTTTGTTATGTAGAATGATTCCTGCCAGTTCTATTCATGTCAACTAGTTTGTGGTATCATGTATGCACTTGGTTCATCTTCCTCGTGATATCATTGTGTAGCGGGTGGTTATCACATAAAGACCAAAACGATTTATGAATGAATAGATCCTGAGGGAATGAAATTAACAAGAATGTATCACTTCAGATCAACCCTGGAAAACACATTCATCTGAGCTATGATGGCGTTGACCCCTTCGCCAGCACGCAGTCGAATTAGACTTTGGAGCTTCTCATCAGAGCCTACTTCCAAATGCACCTGAGACTCAGAGACGCAGTGGACAAGGGAAGCAGAGCACAGGCCATTTTGTGTGGTCTCAGGCCTTGCTTGGGCAGCTTTAGAGTAGCAGAGGGTCCATCCCTGTGACTTCACTACCATTTATTTCTACTTGAGGAAGCACTCAGTGTTTAAAAATATCACTGGCACGGTCCCGAAAATAATAGTGAGAAAATAAGACTGTGCCCTGAAGTAGAGAACGTGGTACCAATTACTTCCTTGGCAAAGTTTTTATTTCTTCTTTGTTAGCCCTCGGGATTCCCCTTGACCTGATTTACTACTGTTGGAGCACCTCCCACTGCAACTCGTGGGGAGTCACAGGCTCACCCACTCTGTGGCACTGATGACATTTCAAGAGTCCCCTCATGTCACACGCTCGATTTGCAAGTAGAAGGGAAACACAGAAGACAAAACAAGTGATTTATTTGTACCGTGAATTTTTATTTATCACTGATCGAGAAGGGCTGGCTTTTCTACTAACTGTCTGGGGTTGCAGTGGGAGAATTACTCCCTGCTCTTTGATTCATGTAACACGTTCTCTCCTATGGCTTTGGCTAGGCTGTCAGACTGCAGTACAGCAAGACATTTAAGTCTGATTAGGACTGACTGTGTCAAATAGAAAACTTCCTTTGCAAAGTATAATGATAAAGCACCTCACACTGGTCTTGAAATGATCTTTTAAGCAACCATAGTAATTGCTAAGTAGAAAATAATATTCTGATGTTCTGTATGTCGTAAACCAACAATCACATCTCCAGGGTACACTTAAGGTAGGCATCAAACTACAGAACTGTACATCTGGTGCAAGGGATCCAAGAGCAGGAAATTGGAGATCAAACCATGGACTAGCCACCCTCTTGCCAGGTGGAATAGGAAAAACACTAAGTCTCTCCATACCTCAGTTTCTTCATGTGTACAGTGAGTTCTAAGATGGTATCAGAGTTTTAATGTGAATAGCTGAACTGCACTTCACTTAGTAGAAACCCTTCACTTACACAGGCCAGCAGGCACATTGTGTTGGCCAGCGACCCCGGGACTTGGCTCCTCCCTTGTTTCAGGCCCTCCTTTGTCACCATGCTGGCAAACTTTGGGAGAGCTCTGTAGAAACCTAGAGCATTGCGAGCCCATTCAAACCAGGGGACAAGAAATTCCGTTCCTGATTCTAGTTTTGTGACTGTAAGGTGAATCTGTGTAGGAACATATAACTCAAATATTTAGTCATCTCTCTTGGAAAGTTATTTGATGTCCTGTATAAATTTCAATAAAATCCATTTATTCAACGTTAATGTCATTTCCAACTTTCACAGATGGAATATAAAATGACTAAAATTATAATTATACTGTGATGAAAAAATAGAAATATGTGCATATATTTGCCTATATTTACATTCTATGCCACAACCTAATTTTGAATCTTCCTTGCCCTTTATGGAATAATTCATTTTTGCTGAAGTAGATCTGTGTATTCTAAGGTTCTCTGCAAAGGTCTACTGCATCCTTATGCTACATATTGCAAAATGTAATCAGTTTTATTCACCAGAGGAGAAGACTACGGAACATATTACACGAGACAAGCCCTGAGCACACAGGCATTCAGGATACATGGCACCTGCTTTATATTCATTTTTACATAATCCCCAGTTTGTCTCCATCCATGGTGTCTCTGTTTTTCCACTGCATTTCAGTGTGAATGCCTACACAATATGGGCCTAGAACACTTAACATAGGATTTTACCTATTAAAATAGGTGATTATTTTATTTGGCAATTTTAGGTTAAATTTTACCTTTTTAAATAAGGGGCTTATTTGTCCTTCATAAGAAACAGACAAGATAATAATATCTGTAACATTTGCTTCCTGATCTAATGCTCCAATCTAGAAGGTAAAGAATAATCATAGAAATAGGAATCTATTTCTATAGAGAACTTTGGGGAAACAAAAGGGCACATCTGTGTATCTCACTAATTCATATCTGCCCTGATTTTATGAGTAGATCAGCTGACTTCTATCCAGTTTATAGGGTATTATAAAGGGATTACCTTTTTAGAGTTCCTGAGTAGTTTCTAGACCCTTGGGTTGAGTTCGAAAGAAAGAAAAAGTACAGGTCTTTTTGTTTCCTGTCCGATCAACGGAGTAGTGTTTCTGTAATGCACTTCTGAGTGAGGTGTCCATCTTTCTGGCATGGGGAACATGGGAACAACCGAGAGCTTAGCTCTTTTGCAAAACCTCAAGTAGGCTGAGCAAAGAGGCAGCACATTAGTATGTCCCCAAGAGAGTCTATTACTTATTGCCGGGCCTGGTTAAAGCTATGTTCCTTGGGAAAGTCTACTCTGAAAAAGCATAGCCTAAGGTAACAATTGCTGAGAAAGGAACTAGGAAATTTTAAAAGTTTCAAATTTGCAGAGCACACATGAGTGTCATAACCTATACAGTGTTTTCACTATCAGTGGTTATATACAATTTGTATTCTATGAGTAAGCCTTCCTTCTGATTTGTCTTAGGCTAGAAAGCCAACCACAAACATCCATTTCTCCCACGCAAATAGGGTTCCTTTGATGCATAGACCCCTCACCCCCCAAAAAAAACACATCATGTGCCATTAAAACCCCAGAGTTGCTAGGAGTTACTAATTCAACAGGTTGAATATGGATGTAGGAATTAGCTTTCAAAGTGTGTTAAATTCCTCTACATAGTCTGACCCAGTATCGTTTCTATGTGTGATTTTCCTGCCACTAGTCCCCAGCCATGAGGAAGACACGTGTTCAAATCTAGGCCGGAAGGAATGGGTTTGAGTCGGTTGTTTAAGGCTGGCGTGGTTCATCCTGTGTGAAGGCGAAGCCGACAGATCAGTCTGTCAGTCTGCGTACGTGCTCTTTAGAGGCAGACCCCTCCTCCAAGTTAAATTTTACACACTACTTCAGTGCACAAAGACAGCTCCCCGAACGCCTATCTGGCAGCAGAAGGGGTGAGACCAGCACACCGTCCGGTCGCCCTAATCTTCCCCACTGGTCTCAGCAGCTCTACAGAACATTTTAAAAGAAGTAGATTAGCAGATAGGGGATTTCCAACATTTTGTCTTACTGCAGTTACCATGACCCTTCGTCTTACATGTGCATTTGTATTCTATGAGGATATATAAAAGTATGTGTAATATTAAAAATGATATAAAACAACAAAATGCCTCACTAAATTGTACTTCTCAGATATTAACATTAAAGCTTGCTTTTGTGATAATCTTTTAAAATGCAATAAGTACCTAGCATCTCACATATTAGAATTAACCCTATCTTTTAGAGATAGGCTGACTTGGGGGTACCATGTGTCTAAAATGATTCTTTAGTCACCTTATTTTAAATAGGGTTATCTAGAACCATTTAAAATCATTGACCTTGGACAGCAATGCTATTATTTCCTTTTTTATTTACCTCAAATTCTCAGTGAGGTTTATAGTGCTTAAGGTTCTGGGCTTGAAGTCAGGACATATGGATTAACTTCTGGGATTTCATGTGGAAGTTCATGAGTCAGTCTTTTCTAATATGAGTTTATTACATATTAAGTAAGGTTGCAAGTGCTAAATCAAATAATGTGTGAAAATTCCCATCATAGAAATGTCATTCAATACCATTTTATGAAACTCTAACAGTCACCTGCTATTTATTTCATGTTGCACAAATGAAGTGTTAGTTTTTACAAGTCTAATAAATGTGTACATATTACACAAATAGGAATGGCTATTGGTAGAACAATACAATGTGATGAGAAATACAGTACATAGGCATATATATGAAGCCACAATAGCATGTAAATGGAAAGGTAGCCATTATTTTGGAGAAAAACCATTTGACAGTTTTAGCCTTATCATAGCCCAGTGAACTTTTGTGATTAAATCAAAAAATAATTACAGAATTAGTTCCTTCAGGAAGCAGAAGGCAAAACACAAAGGATTCAAATGAATCTGGGTGAATATGGCCAAAATTTTCATAAAAATAGGCACAGCAACAATAATTTCCAAGATAAATTCCAAAGTTCTCAGGATACTCTGTACAGGTCTTCTCCCATTGCGAATTTAATATTTCTCCCAGGATAACATGTTATCTGATAGTTCTGTATTCAGTTAGTTGTTCTGGTTCAGTATGACTTTGATAGAT